GTTGACGAATGGTGTGATACCTGTGAGAAGAAGACGGATTAGTTGAGAAAAAGCAGTCGAATAGGGAATACCAACCATGACCGAGATTTGCAATCCATCCTTGTTTTCCTCCACCAAAACCATTTACCATTTCCTCGACTACCCGAGTGATTTCAGATCGAGTTCCATATAGAACTCCTGGGTCTGCATTGCCTTGGAAGACGATTGGGCGGTTTCCTCGTATCCGAACGGCCTCCACGGGGTCTTGTAACCAGTCCAAACCTACTACCTGATATCCTAAATCACATAAGGAATCTAAGGCATACCAAGCTCCCTTGGCAAATACAACCATTGGGACTTGCTCGAGACCGAGTTCCTTTAAGCGTTTTGGCAGATTTTCCGATATATAAGCAAGATATGGTCGCGAGAACTCCTTAAAAGAAGAGGGGGATAATTCCGCAGCCCACGAGTCGAAAACTTGAACCAACTGATATAACCATTAGTTTCGACCAAGTAAAGTCGTGAGCGGCCAATGAACTTACCTGTGCCCCAGCTTTTACTTGCAAAGCCAAATACTCTACACACACTTCTGCGATTTTCTGAAGAAGGGCCTTGCTTGCTTCTGGATACCTGTAAACCCACGTCTTGGTCTTCACAAACAACTTGCTTCCTCCACCTTCCACCATGTAACATAACAGGGTCCATGGAGCACCACAAAATCCAAATAGTGGTACTCTTCCCTTTAGCTTATGTCTGGTCAAAGTGATTGCCTTGTAAACATAGTCCAATTCTGCCGCGACATCCACCTCCTTGTTCAAAACTCGTTCATATTGGCCGTCCTCAGGTGACTCCAGAGGTTCGGGAAAATGAGGTCCTTTCTTGTCAACCATCTCTACGGTCATCCCCATAGCTTGAGGAATCACGAGAATATCGGAAAATATAATAGCTGCGTCGACAAGTCCGGCGAAACGTTCAATAGGTTGGAGAGTTAAGGTTGATGCGATCTCCGGAGAGCGGCAGCATTCAAAGAAGTCATTCTTTCCTTTTGCTTCGTGGTATTCAGGTAGGTAACGTCCAGCTGTAATATTTCCAGGTGTCAGCTATCTCCATCTCATAAATTTCAATGACTTCAAACATTGGCCATACCTTGACGCATCACCCACATTGGTGGACGTTCAACCTTCTGACCTGGACTTCGTTAGCAATCAGCATTCTGAAGATTCAGTAATCATTGTATCTACCCCATGCTGTTCTGAGGATGAGATCGTTCTGTAATGGTTCAAATTGATGCTCCATGGTGTACTAATTTATATCTCAAACCAAATGAGGGGACTCTTTTGCTGGAAAAACACCACAAATGTATAAACGTCTGAGATTGCGTCAAACAATAAGGTTGACAATAAATCCGAAGAGAAGTTAGGAAGAAATCCAATTGAAGTATAAGGTTTATATGAACCTTGGTCTATTTATTTTCTTACTATTACCATTGCCTAATTCCCATGGTCCCTTCGGGGTTTCATTTTCACCCCACCAAACGTGAGCTTCAAGATCCACAAAATTAACAGGGACGAGGGAGCTCTGGAAAAACTGTTGATCCGTTGCATTTCAATTATTATTCGCTATGTACGATTTAATGATACGCAAATTCCAGTGATAAAGCTTTCGCTGAAGTCATTCTCACTGTACGATATCTTGCGCATGAAGAATATAGAGCATGCCATTCTGCTCCAAGAAGATCTGATTTCAATACCTCACCAATGTCGAATCGCAAAGCGTTAACGCGGCTGGCATATTTTTCAACGAGCGATGCTCCCTCGCCCATCGACTTCCTGTCGAAGGCTCAAACAACTCACAACATCCTTTGAATGTGTGTGGGTATCTGAGGAGGATCTTTGCAATGCATTCCAACGCTTCTGTGGTGCCTCGAATACAATACGTCGACATGGGAGCTCAGTGCCTGGCCCGTTGGAAAGCAGGAGGAGATTGGGGAGGAGAAGAATGGCATATGTCACAGAGATGACACAGGCGTCAATGTACGATCCGGGGGCTTTGTGGTGCTCATCTTGGGGGCCAGAGAAGATTGAATCGCAGTGGGAGGCTCCAACACCTCGAATCACGGAACAATCAAAGCATCCACCAGCTTTACCATCTTGGTTGACTAATTGGACTCCCATGCCCGAAGAACCTGCGGATGTTTCTATGGAGCCTGTAATTGTGGAAGAATCGACTGGGAATGGCTATGATATTTTGCGACAGGAAGGACATATCCAAGAACATTTTCATGATTTTGAAACGGCAATCGAGCTCAATCATCTAGAATCTACTGAGTTGAAAGGGGACTGGAACACGGAAAAGAAGAAGGGGCGGCATCAGCAGTCGGTTGAACCTAAGAAAGCTTTAAAGCTTTGCGTATCGTTTGGTAAAAGACTCCAACAGAGTCTTACTCTTGGGCTAGTTACTAGCGATCTGCTGTCTAACTCACTTCGAACTGTTACAAATGTTCTCGTGGATATTCATAGCGGCTCTTACTCCAGCGCTAAAGGTCCTAACAGACAAAGTCCCAAGAGGGAAGATTTTTTTTGCGGAAGAGATGCTGATGCAGTTAAAAAACTGCTTGCTTTCTATAGACAAGTCTGGGATGGCATTGTGTCTTGTAAAGTTCTCACGCCCGCCGATTTTGATTCGAAAGTCATAGCAGAATATCTGTCGTTGATTGCAGATCTCCCAAGCACCAACGAAGCACAACTTCTGGTCTCTGAAATACTTCCGTCATTATCTGCAGTTCAATTGGATAGTAATGTAGACAGCATTTTGTCTATATTCAACAAGTGGTCATTAAGCTGGCTCCAAAAAATGACTACTCCAACAAATAGAGATAAATTTTTGACGAAATCAGAGACATCTTTGATATCCTCACAACGAAGTATCAACCACCTCCGAATGCTAATGTGGTCCAATCGAGGCAAGGAAACGCCTGAGCTGTTGAAACGCGTTCGAGAAATTCTAATTCAAGCATCTACGAAGCTTTCCGCTGCCAGCACAGAATTATGGGCTGCGGAAAACATGTTTTTGCCTCACAGTCACTCCATTGATGTAATGAGCCAAACTCTAACCAATTTACCTAAAGAGATTACTTCTGTTCTGATCAGATCACATTCGGGTGTCATCTGTTCCGCAAATTTCTGGAAGCAGAAGAGTATTTCGGGGCTCAAAGACTACCTTGCTCAATCCCACAGGACACGATTAAATTGGCTTTCTGTGCTTTCCAGATTGAAAAACATTAATAATTCAATATTCACCGAGGCATTCAAAATATTGCAGCAACAAGATCTTAGTCCGTTCAATCTGGACAACAAGGAATATACTTTGACATGGCGCCAGATGTCTGAGCTTGTTCTAACCCGTTGGGCTAGTCAGGGCGCTTTAACAAACGGCAGCGTAATCATCGACACCTTCAAGATCAAGACCCTTCATTCTTCCTCATCCTTTGGGTGGCTTCTGTGGACTTTAAAAGAGTATGGACAGTTGAGCGACGAGAAGATACAAGATCTATTTAGTTTTCTCCGAGATATACAAGCGTTCGGCCACATACACGCAGTGCTAAGGCAATCAAAAATGTTCAATTTGCGGATAAATTCCAATGTCCTAGCAGATCTCGTCAACAAAACGACTTGCGTGGATCTCCAAGCTGCGTATAATATATACATGCAACATTGCATGGGCGAGATCGAGCCCGAGAAGTGTGCGCCTTTGTTTGCTACGATGATATATCACGGAAGCGAGGGAAGCGAGGGAATCTGGGCCGCATTGGATGCTCCAATCTACGCAGCAATGCCAAAGTGGAAAAGAAAAGCCCCATCACCAGAGATTCTTTCACAAGCACGAATTGGACTTATACACGAAATGGCAACAGCTTTTGCACATCAAAATGTCGAGCATCCTAGACAAGCTCTCCGTAATGTTACACAATGTTGGCACTATCTTCGTGCGCATAAGGTTAAACCGACTTCGGAAATCTCAAGGGCGATTACACAGGTGGGCATCATTGCGGATGTGAGAAATGAAAAGTGGGGTCGAACAGAAAGAGTGAGATGGGTTCTGGATGTTATTGAAGAGGCGGAAGGCCCAGAGGTTGCGGATGCAGTGAGAAAGGCGGTGGCTAAATGGAGGCAAAAACTAAAAATCAGACTTGAGAAGAAGAAAGAAGGCTATATTGAGTAGTATTTAAAGCTTTGTCAATTCAATAAGGTTATACCCCGGAGTCTATAGACGTCTTACAGCCATTTTGTAGATAATCAAGAGATTACATCAAACTACCCAACAACATCTTAATACCACATTCCAACATCAGTTCCCGTTCCGATTGTTAAGGATGATCTAAACCTTGTCGCCTCTCTGAATCTCGCATCTAACCGTCGCCGTCACCATCACCGCCACACCCCATCCCAACCAAAAATGCACATCATACCATTCAAACAACACCCTACACATTCATCCACCCATTCACCCTTAACCAATCTACACGTCATACAAATACCTCAATCCTACCATGACCTTCATCAAACATCTCATCGTACGACCTGGCGCAGTGGTCTACACAACTGACTTATACACACTGCGTTTTAACCATCTTCGGATGGGTGGGATGTTTGATAGATTACGGACAGAATTGACCCCATTTCGAAGGGTTCTGCTAGTAATAAAATCCTCATCTCAGAGAGGATTTTCCCATGTACAACATGGTTTTTTGCCTTTTTGGTTGTTGGAAGAATCGATGTTTTTGTGGGGAGCGGGAGAGTGAATCTCGCGAGTAATGATGTTTCGGTTTTTGGGGAGGGAATTTTTGTGTTTTTGTGGGGAGGGGGAGAGTGAATCTATGGAATGGGAATTTTAATGTCAGTGAGAGGATGATAGAATTGTTCAGTTTCGTTTTTGGCCTAATTGTGTATGATGTCAAGATATGGGTTGGGTAATTTTTCCATTCAATTGATCAGCAAGCTAGCTAGTAAACATGCGTGAATTTATTCCTCATCCTCCATCTTTCTCAAATTTCCAATATTATACAAGAGACCACCTAACTTATTCTTCTTCTCTGCATCCAAAATACCCTCGCTATCTTGCGATACATATCCTTCCAATTGCACATTAACAAATTTCTCACTTTCGTATTTGAAGAATTGCAGAGGACTTGCGATGGGTGAGTTGTCGTCCTTTACGGCGATGATGGAACCGGATTCGTGGATGTTGTCGATGGAGATTATGAGGGAGAATGGAGATGAGGGGTGGGATTGCTGAGGGTGCAAGAGAGCGCATTGCCTGGTAGGGTGATGGTTTGAGTATGTATGAGTTGGTTGGAAGGCGTGAGAGTATAAATGAAGGCGGCAGGGACACTGGGACTTTGTTAGCTTGAGTTCAGACTGGGCTTTTGTGGGTAGCATAATGAGACTTGCCCTTCAGATGTAGCTACCACGATGTCTCGATCAGATGTTTCATCTCTAGCGTGATAAATACCCGTCACTGCAACCTTCTTAGACTCGGTCTCGGGTTCGTCTTTGGTGGTTTCTGGGCCAAATGCTTCAATTTGAGACTTGAGATCTACTTTCGATAGTAAAGATCCATCGAGCCAGTTCCAAACGTGTAGGTCGTCATCTCCGCCGCCAGAAATAAGAGTTTCTGGTCTTGTAGAAGGAATACATAAACGACTAACATATTCAATGTGTCCGAGACAGAATCCCTCAATGACGTGCGATTGAGGAATTCCACGACTAACACGAATATGCTCGTCACGATCAGCTGTAAGAATGTAGTGGCGACCTGACACGGAAGCCGTCACGATATCTGTCAACATAGAAACATGTCCAAGGAGAAGTTTGTGCTCAAAATCTGGACCGGTTTTCTCAGACACTTTGTTGGTCTGTTTCTTTTGAGCCTCAAGGGCTTTTAAGTTGCGCACGGAATGTACTGTCAAGGCACTGGCTGAAGGCTGGAACTTCTTTGGAGCTTGCTTTTCGGCAGAAACATCTTCTTTAGCGGATGGAACTGAAGGAGAAGGGATGAGAGGAAGAGAATACACATCCCCAAATTTATCAGCGCTGATTATGGTACTGCAGTCATCGGTAGTGGCAAGAGCACAAGGTCGTTTGGGCATAGTACTAAATTCGTCAGTCAGAGCCACTTTGTGAAAGTAGACAATCCCTACCGATCACTGATCTGCTTTAATCCTTTGCCTACTGTATCCTCCCATGCCAACACTCTGATGGTTTTGTCCTCGCCTGTAACTGCAATCACGTGCTGGAGGTCTTTTGTGATAGTTAAAGCAGTAATGGGTGAAGGTTCAATAATCTTTGGTGGTGTATTCTTCGCTTTCTTCTTCAATTGCTGTACGACAACAATCTTCTCTTCCTTTTCCTCGCTAACGGATAACTTCCGTCTCTTTGCTGGCGGGGTTGACGATTCCAATGGGGCATCTGGAGTAGATGTTTCTGGGTTCTGCTCCTCACTTTTGGTTTGCGTCTCTTCTCCAGTTGTCTTCAATGCATTCGTACTTTCTGGCGCTGGAGACTTCCATGTTGAAAGGTATGAACCATCTTTTATATCAAAGGTATCTATGCTTGAGCCTCGAGCTGCTACAAGATAGTTACCACATTGTTTGAGGCATTGGTATGGTGTTCTGAGTTTCGACATCTTTTTTGATAGACTGATTTGGCCTCCCGATCAAGTAAATAAGTTTTAAACGGAAACACAATTCTTTCCTTGGAGCGGCTATTCGTATATCAAAATACCAATCAATACCCAAAAAATACAAAATATTTATCCAGATGTCTCGAATTTATTTATCAACAAGGGTCTGAGCTTCTCCACCAATCAGAATGTATTTTCGCATGCCAGATTGCGCTAAGCACTAGCGGCTCCCACATTCTAGCAATTCGTCAAACTCATCAAATGGATCTTTTTTTCGAATTTTGATTTATTTCGCGACAATCACAATTCTTCCACGAAGAACAAATCCTCAACTCTAACATAATAAATTTGTCCTTAAATCACCTAACTTCACAAATAAGAAGATATGGGGGGCAAATCCGAAAACAAGGCCGGCTACTTCGATAAGCTCAAGGGCTTACTCGAGGAGTACAAGTCCATCTTCATCGTCACCGTCGACAATGTCAGCTCTCAACAAATGCACGAGATCCGTGGATCTCTCCGTGGTGAGGGTGTTGTCTTGATGGGAAAGAACACCATGGTACGTCTACTAAGGATTGGTGGATTCTGTTGTTATTGGCGCGCTCAGAAAACTAATTTTTGTGATTGAACAGGTCCGCCGTGCCGTCAAGGGCTTCGTCAACGACAACCCAGAATACGAGCGTCTCCTTCCTTTCGTCAAGGGTAACGTCGGTTTCGTCTTCACCAACCAAGATCTTAAGACCATCCGTGACAAGATTCTCGACAACAAGGTCGCTGCTCCAGCCAGAGCTGGTGCCGTTGCCCCAGCTGATGTCTACATCCCAGCCGGTAACACCGGTATGGAACCAGGAAAGACCTCTTTCTTCCAAGCTCTCGGTGTCCCAACCAAGATTGCCCGTGGTACCATTGAAATTACCGCAGACTTGAAGCTCGTTGAGGCTGGTTCCAAGGTCGGAGCTTCCGAGGCTACCCTTCTTAACATGTTGAACATCTCTCCGTTCACATACGGTATGGGTATCTCCCAAGTTTACGATGATGGTAACACTTTCCCACCAAGTGTTCTCGACATCGAGGAGTCCCAACTTCTCAAGGCTTTCAGCAGTGCTATCACCACCATCGCTGCTATCTCCTTGGCTGCCAACTTCCCAACCCTTCCATCTGTTATGCACTCTGTTGTCAACAGCTACAAGAAGGTTTTGGCTGTTGCCATCTCGACCGACTACAGCTGGTCTGAGATTGATGAGTTGAAGGACCGAATTGCCAACCCAGAGGCCTACGCCAGTTCCGGACCTGCCGTTACTGAGGCTGCCCCAGCTGCCGTTGCTGAGGAGGCCAAGAAGGAGGAGTCCGAGGCTGAGGAGTCCGCTGATGAGGGATTCGGAGGAATGTTCGACTAAATTCGTCAATGATAAATCTGAAATGGATTCTCTGTATGTCTGAAAGGATATATAAAGAAACATCAAGGTTATCTAGTTGTCATCCAAGTATCTTGACTCTGGAAAAATGAAAAAACTTAACAAGCCAAAGCATGTGTATCGTGGTATGACAATGAAATGTGATGTGAAAATCACAATTCCATTAACTCCAAAAGGTTCGTCGCTATTTTCTCATACACTCTACAATTTTCTCAAGCTGCTTTGTGATGAATAAATCATAGCTTTTTAACCCCGAGTGCATGCGCACGTTGAAGATTAAAAACAACAACACTCTAATTTTTTCCTGAATGCTTTCAATATTTGTCATTGTGTCATACAAATAATTATGGTCGTGATCAATTACTGACTATCTATTCAGGATTTGCATCTTTTTCCAATATCTGCCTAGCAACCTCAATAGCTTCCCTCGGCAATCCAGCCAATTTAGCAACCTTGAGAGCGTGACTCTGTCTGTTGATACCCTCCTTCAATTTATACATATACCTAAATGCTCCATCTGTGTTCCCATCCTCTTCCACATCCGTACAATAAAAGCCCACTGCACCCATATTGTTCTTCTCTATCAAATCCACCAATGCGTGGAAATGTGTCGCGAATAATGCCCTGCATTTATTCACATGGTAAAGATGGTGCAAGCATGCAAAGGCCACGGCCACACCGTCAGTTGGTGTTGTTCCTCTACCAATCTCATCCATGATAACGAATGATCGTGAAGTCGCATTTTTGAGGATCGTCGCACTCTCCAACATCTCCACCATGAATGTCGATTGATCTCGGTAGAGATTATCTGCAGACCCAACACGACTGAATATATGATCTACAATCCCCAACTCTGCATATTCAGCAGGTACATATGATCCGACTTGTGCAAGAACCGTAATCAATGCATTTTGACGCAGAAAAGTACTTTTGCCAGCCATATTTGGCCCTGTAACTAGCCAAGCTTTATGAACGTCTCCCACCAGACAATCATTGGAAATAAAACTCCGACCTTCTCCCTCTAATCCAGTCTCAACGGTAGGGTGTCTCCCACCAATAATTTTGTGCGCAGAACTTGTATTGAGGATAGGACGAGTCCAACCTCTTTCATTTGCCAGTGTAGCAAATGAGCACGCGATATCAATTTCATCCAGTACAGCTGCATTACGACGAAGTTTTACGAGATTTGTAATAGCCAGTTCGCGAAGTTTGTAAAACAATCGCTGTTCTTCGGCCCGAATGTGGATGCGACATTGATCGATTTCTTGACCCAGGAATGACCATTCGGGATGATGAAGAGAACGAGTGCTTTTGCTTGAGCTGATGGTGCGGGCTTCGGGCATGTCCAGATTTATATCTCTTCCTTTAACGTGGCAGATGTGACCGAGGCCGGGGGTGAAGCGAAGGGTCAGACTTGTTGCGCCGAGACGCTCGCAGAGAGAAGCTGCCAGGGCGGTCTTTTGATTTGCTAGAGAGGATAGTTCTGTGTGGAGACGTTTGAGGGTTGACGTGGCGCTTGGTTTCATGATCCAGGCTTCACTCTCTTGATTGTAATATTCTCGAAGGCTGGTAGGTTTCCTGCGGTTGTTTTTCCGAATGATAGATGTTTCTTCGGTGTTTCCTTCCGAAGCGACGATTGCTTCGGCCAGTGCTTGCATCTCTCCACTCTCGCCTTCTTCAATACGATGTTGCTGAACTAGACCTTCTTCGTCAATGGCTTCTGTGATTGCTTGGGCGAGTTCCATTGGGTCTTTGAGGTGAATACGAGTAAGTAATTCTTGTATGCAAGGCTTGGGCGTCGTATTATGAACTTCGAGTGCGAATGCCAAATCTCGAGTAGCATGTATCGTGTTAGCTAAATCCAAAAGATCATCGCCATCTCCTCTGCCAAACGCAAACTTTTGCAGTAGGCGATGGGAATCATGGCTGCGTTTCAGGAGAGATGTTACTCGGTCTCGAAGATTCTCATTTTCAAGCATGTATGTCACGAGATCGAGCCGAGAGTTTATCACATCCAGGGATGTTGAAGGTGATGCTATTCTTTACGTCAGCCTTTGAAGAACATTGAAAATCACCTAAATTATCGAGAAAAACGAAACTTACCAAGCCAATTCTCCAACAGTCTTGCACCTCCTTTTGTGACTGTGCGTCGGATTGTGTGCAATAAACTACCACTGAAAACATCTTCCTTGATGGTCTTCTTAATCTCTAGAGCTCTCATAGTATTCTTGTCGATTCCCATAACATTTAACTGGCGTACAGGAGGTTGGAGTCTCATGTTCGTACTTTGTAATCTTGTTTCAACATAATGTAGTAAGCAACTACCAGCCGATACCTCTTCCTCCGTGAAGGTGTCTGCCGAGGATTGGGGAACTGCCGATTCTAACATAGAGGACCACTCGGATATAGGCTTCACCCCTGAAAGTGTTGCATAAGTGATCATATGGTGTTCGTCGGTGAGAATGGTAAATATTTCGTGACTTTTCATAGATTGCATCTCTTTATTCAACACGATTTCGCGTGGAGCTATACGGGCCAAGAAGGAAGGAAGTTGTGAAAGCGATGACTTTTGGGTGAAGAAATGACCAGTTGATAGATCCAGCCAAGCCAAACCGATTGATTTATGATGCCTGTCATATTCAATAGCGTCAGTTGTATCACCGCGCTGTATGTGTATTGCAAGTACATAATTGTTCGAAAGAGGGTCCATGAAACCTTCATCGATGAGAGTACCAGGTGTAACAACACGTGAGACTCTTCGATCATGCATCAGTCCTCCAGATTTCACCTTATCCGAAATATCATTTGGAAACTCTTCCGATATAGCAACATATCGATTTAAATCTTGAACAAGTATCTTCAAATAACGATCAAGTTGATGAAAAGGAAACCCAGCCTATTTACCGTTATTATATAATAGGGTGACATCATGATGATAACTTACCATCGACACAGGTCCAGCATTTGTTTTCTTCTGGGAAACCTTAAGACCCAGAAGCGGACCAAATTCATCCGCATGCTCAAAATACAATTCGTAGAAACCTCCAACACGTGTTATGACCACGCAGTTCTCAAACTTGAGCATATTGCTACGGGCCTGCATGATCACGGTTGGATATGGTGGTGGTTCATTCTCAATTTCCAATGGCTCCAGAGGAAGTAATCCTTGCGGAAGTTCTACTTCACCTGTTGCTTTGGCTTTTTTGGAAATTTTCTCGCCGGTTGACGAAGATGGAGTAACTTGTGATTCTTGTACCTCTGAGGATTCGGAGTCAAGAATGATCAAGCCTTGGGGCAAACCCTCTATGCGCCTGATTCTCCTTGATGGTTTTACTGTTTTTGTGTCATCTTCAACATTATCTGAAGTTGCGGAAATTCGCAGTTCTTCACATTCAGCTGTGGCTGGCTCTGGCTCCTGAAGTAAATCCTGGACATCTTCAAAAAATTCCAAGGAAACCCTTTCTGGAGATTTATCCTTAATGAGTGATTGCTCCAAATCCAAAGGTTCTAAGGGCCTCAAATCTAGTCCATGAGGAAGATCATTGAAATTAAAAGTAGATTTCGTTTTCTTTCCTCGGTGAAAAAGTTGAGATTTGAAGTAAATGACATTATTGCGAGTGCGAGCAGATGATGACAGAGTGAAACGAGACGAAGAATTGGCAATACATCTTCTAATACTTAAGGAAGGGAATGGAACAATAGCATTGTATCTGCGAACGTTCCTCGCATTAAAGAATGATATGTGCATTGGGGGATTTTCGAAAATTCGACATTCCAATTGATATGTAAGACGTACGTTAACCAAATTGAGAAAGCGTGATGAAGGTAACAAACGTGAGGTCAATGCAACGGGATTACTTAAGCCTTGGACAGTTTTGCTGGCAGACGCAAACGGGGAAAACTCAGCATCGTGACCAATCAAAAAGATGGATTCAAGATCTGAAGACGAGCTAGGTATCTACTAGGAGGTACCCGTGGACGTAAAGGGAAAGTCGAAAGAGAAGTGTGAATTTGCTTTAAACATTATTTATAAGTTATTTGCGACTAATGCGTGATGTCAAGGTTACGTTACGATTACATTTTAATTATATGCAAATATCTGGTAATAATTCTGTGTATGTAGATATGGATATAATCACAAAATATATAGACATCAAATCTTTGAATATACAGTACTACCCCAGGTAATGAGGTATTTGTAAAGAGAGAGAGAAGCTTTATCATCCATCGGTAATCTACTCGAGTACCTAGTAGTAATATTACCCTTTTACCAATTGCTTACTTAAAGCTATGGTAATGTTTTCATAACAGACAGCCAATCTAATTCTCCTTGCGTGCTTCAACATGCCAAGTATGATTAACCAACCACTTATTAAAGCATCTGTAATCAACTCACTAATGCGTTTGTGGAAATCTCAATATATTCCGAGGTGCACTTACCTCATGGAACCCTAGTAATGCACCAGAAGTACGAGTATCTAGGTACTTGGTAGGTATCTCTAACCCCTCGATTGCTTCTTTGACTTTGCCCCAACCGATAGTCAATATTGATGATGGATGGATGGATGAATGATTGAATTGATGTATGAATGCATATAAGAAGGGAGGGACTTTCCCATCCATTCGAGTCTTTTCTTTATTCCTCATCATTCAATCTTCAATCTTCTCTCTGTCCAAGTCTCTCTCACACTCATACTCTTCATATCAATCTTCCTTCTCTCAATTAATTCTCTATCAAAACTCTCAGCATGGCTCCTAAAGTAGCTATCGTTTTCGTAAGTACTTCTCCATTTCATACCCGTTATTGTATGGAACGATAAGACTAGACTCCTCGACTTTCTCTTCATGTTCTGTTGGTTCAATCTCATCCGCCCATACGTGTAGAATATTCACACACTACATTCCACATGAACCCATCATTCATAATATTTCAAATTCATTCTACCAGAGCAAATGCCATGATACTAACCCCCATGTCTCCCACAGTACTCCATGTATGGCCACATCCAAAAGCTTGCTGAAGCCGAACAGGCAGGTCTCAGGAAAGCCGGAATTGAAGCCGATCTCTTCCAGTAAGTCTTGAACCATCCTGTTCTGGAGAAATCAAAAAGTCCTCAATGCTAATTCACCAAATAGAGTTCCAGAGACTCTTCCTCAAGAGGTCTTGGCTAAGATGCACGCTCCCGCAAAATCAGACATTCCAATCATTGACCAAAAGACTCTTGCGAACTATGTAAGTCTTACCAATCCACTTTGAACCGTAAAACCATATTCACCCCAAGCTTTCATTCCCATCCCATGCCCACACCCCGTATCCATCCAGCTGACACAATCCAGGACGCATTCCTCTTCGGTATCCCAACCAGATATGGTAACTTCCCCGCCCAATGGAAAGCCTTCTGGGACGCTACCGGCAGCCAATGGCAAACCGGAGGCTACTGGGGAAAATTCGCCGGAATCTTCGTTTCCACCGGCACTCCAGGTGGTGGGCAAGAGAGCACCGTTCTTGCTTCTCTCTCAACATTAGCTCATCACGGCATCATCTATGTTCCATTGGGTTATGCAAAGTCGTTCCCACAACTCGCAAACTTGGAAGAGGTTAGAGGTGGTTCCCCATGGGGTGCCGGAACTTTCGCTGTAGGTCTTTTTTCTATCTGTTTGAGAGGATTATGTTGGGGTATACTGCATGAGTGAGGATATAGGACTGATCTTCTATAGGGCGCCGATGGATCTCGATCACCCTCTGCACTCGAGTTAGAACTTGCTACCATTCAAGGCGAGGAATTCGGAAAGACCATCAGCAAAGTCAACTTCGCGTGACTAGATGTAAGTAAATTCGAAGTCAGCAGTCAACAATTGCAATTGATTCACACTGCTAACCCTCAATAATAGGGCTCTGTCACAAACAATGGAGAAGTGAAGTCAGAATCAAATTTGGCAGATAGCAATGGAGAAACCAAAAACATTCAGCAAGCAAACCAGAAAGCAGACAAAGGAGAAACTGGGGTTAAAGATAAGGAAGGCCCATGTGGCTTGCCAGTCAAGTGCACAATTCAATAATTTAAGACTTTCTAATAGTAGAATTTACAACATTGAGATGTAATCTTCAGAAGCTCATGACGGGTGCTTATCCAATGGCGTGACATAAATGACATGATGCACGCGACATAAACACGCTGGCCAAAAATTATCCATAATACATTGCATTCAAAATTTTGGTACATTACATTTTCACAAAATCAACTCCTCATACAAGGGATGTACATATAGTTGTTTGTGTATGTGGCATCCTTTATAGAATACCCTCCCGTCGTTGAATCAGTCGTCTCATGTCGCCATGACCGATTCTAATTTCCCACCTCGGTCAATGGGCAATAATCTATTTTACATTGTGGTTGTCTTTAACGCCACGCTCCTGAAAGAAGATATGACCTCCATAAAACGCCTCAAGTGAAACATTGGAATCATACAATACATGAAAGAGATAAATGTAAACATGTAACAAAAGGCCTAGATACTATGCATGCTTGTATGACTACTCTGCCCTTTCTTCAAGAGAGCAAATTTGCTAGTGATGGACTCGCGCTTGCTCCCCCGTTAACCTGATTGTTATTCGGTCTCACACCACCCAACGGAGGAGGAAGACCATTGGGTGGGGGAGGCAGTCCATTTAATTGCCGGTTGAGCTGTGGACTGCTATGTGGTGGTCCGTGTGGTGGTCCATGTGGTGCACCATACGGACGAGAATGCATCGGCGCATTGTGTTGCGAGAAAGGATGCTCCGGGGCACGAGGAGGCGGTCCGCCATTTGTCAAATGATGAGGAGGGGGTCTACTAGAAGCATACGATCCGTAGCTTCCATTTTGCATATGCATGGGCGGAGGTCCAGGAAGTCGATGAGGAGAGGGCGGATAACCGTTGGGCAAACGTCCATTTTGATGAGGGGATGGCTGTAGACCTTGCACAGGCTGACGATTATGAGGTGGTCCACCCATTTGTGGCGCAACTCCAGGCATCCTTGGTGAATGATTGCCATTGACTTGATGTACGGCAGCGACATTCGTTGGGACTGGAGATTGACGAAGCCAGTTGTTGTACGGGGTGTTGGACGGATACGATGGAGGTTGGGGCGGCCATGGGTATTGATGCGGCGTATGATTGCGCTCAAGCTCGGGCGGAGGAACATTCGCAATGATAGGTGTAGAAGTCGGAATAGGGAGTGGCGCGGGAGGTCTAGAAACCTCGCGATCGCTTGCCATGGCTATAGGCATAGGTGGTGGCGTCGGTATTGGTGTAGGTTGCTTTCGAATTTTCTTCCAATGGCACTGATGGCATTGAAACTCCGTAGGTAGAGGGGCCGGCTTTTTGGTATTTTGGTCCAAGGCTGCGGCTGCGAGTGCAACATGAACTCCACTTCTTTCACCTGTTGGAGCACTAGGTAAATGGCCGTTGGCGAGTCCAGGGCTCTCCGATTTGGTAGGATCGTGATCCAGTATGGCGTTTAAGGGAGCTGCAGGACTGCTAGTTGCAACAGTAGTTTGAAACATCGGCCACCATTTAGGGCTGATGTCAACACTACAAGTGGCACATGTTCTTTCTGCATCGCGCACCGAAAGTGAAGTGCTCAATGGTGAATCCTCAACTTTGACCAACGCTAAAGAAGCACGTCTATTTGTTGTAGGAGTCGATATAGGAGCCCCGGTAGATGTCCGACGATTTTGGGATGTTGGGATATTGACAGAACTGGCGGCTCTGGTAGATTGGTTGACGAGATTCGCTTTCCGAACTGTGCCAGTCAGTGCCAAGTCTGCCTGCTTGAAATTTTGTACATAGAGTTGTAAAGCATTAAGGCCCGTTTCATCAACAATGTCGTGCATGCGATGGACAATAGTCTTGGTTGGTACATGTTCTTTGCACCAGACAGCGGCAGACATGGCGCCATTTTCACCATTGATATTCACAATGTTGTGCTGGTCGCGGCGAGAACCCTTTACCGGAGCGATATCGAAACCCAGAATGTACCCATTCTGGTGCGCACATTCCACGTGCACTGCAATGCTAATTAGTAACATGACAACTCGGGTATGTGTCTAGAATCTTACCTGGTGCTCGACATGAATGGCAATTTACACAGGCACCGCCTTTCTTCTTGCATGCTTTGCAAACCTCATCATATCTACTCGAAGGGATCGATGGAATCCCTTCAGATGGAACTAGAGCTTTCGCATCTCCAAACTTCACTTCGGGTGTGAATACAGCACAGGTGACGTGTACCCAATTGTTATTAGCTGTGCGCTTCAATGGCTCCCGAGGATTGACAGGCTTATTGTATTCTTCCTGCTTCTTTCGAAAGTAGTCTGCAGCTTTCTGCGCATTTTCTCTCTCCACACGATCTCGCTCCCGTTCCTTTTCAGATTTCTTCTTGTGAGAAACCCTGGGCGGTTCCACAAAATCATGCTCTGTACACTCTATCGGGCAAAGCACGCATTTGTATTGCTAAAATCGTGAGTGACAGAACAAATGCAATCAAGAACTCGAATGAACTTACAATTGATACCTTGGGATCTTTATCGTTCTGACACATGTCACAGGTCCATTTGCTGGGGCTTCGGTTATCAACAACGCCATAGCAATTTCGATGCACAGCCATTCTACAATCTTTGCAGGAGAGGTGCTGATCTCCAAATGGTTCCAGCTGGGCGCAAACAGCACATGGAAGAATTTTCGGCTTGGGAACTTCTGGAGGCGGAGGCGGAGGCGGAGGCGGAGGAGGAGGGGGGGAGGAGGTTTCTCTACTATTGGCTTCTTTTTTGGTTGCGCAGGTGTTACTATATTACCGTTTTCGAGCGCAGAATCTGAAGCTTCTTTGTTATCTGGATTGATTTTGACCTTCTTCTTAGGCGGTTCTGACACTGCTGGCACTACAGGTGCAGGTGCAGGTGTGCTAGCAGTCGAGACAGGTGCTGTAGTGGGGAGAGCATCCGTTTGGCCAAACTCTTCGTTTGCAGCTTTGAGTTCTCTGAGATATTCTTCATCCATTTTCCGTTTAGAAGCTCGTCCTCCTGAGGCCGCCATCTTTTTGGCTACTTCATCAACATCTTCATACTGTATCGCATAACGGCGCCAAAGTTCTGCGCATCTTTGACATAATGCCAACACAAGTTGGTTACCTTTCTCCTTTGCGGCTCCTTTGCTATTGGAATTCTCAGGGACAGTAGCACCCACAGGGGTGTTGGGAGCTCGTCTCCATCTTTGCGAGCTTCTTACGGAACAAAATTTGCACTGGAATCCCTTCTTTTTCTGTAAGACTTTGTCGTTGTCAAAGGCTGAATCGTCGTGTTCATCGGCAATGTCATCCTGTAACTTTCCCAAAGCCGCCTCTGCCCTTTTGGCCTCCTTTTTGCCTTTTCGCCCTGAATAATTACCCCATATCTGCTTTCCCCTATCCGTCTTTTTCCATGTATAATAAAATCGCACCACATCAGCAGGGCTCATTGTCTTCACATGTCTTTTAATGCTAAGCCACTCAGACCCAAATTTGGTAACGCCGTCCTCGAATTTTTTAAGCTCGGCAGGACTTGGTTCTGGCTCCTTGAACGACTTCTTGTCGGTTTTCGAAAGTGCGTCAAGTGCTTTGTTTACATCGAACTTGTTTGAATAGAGTAATTGCAGTGCTACATCGAGCAGATTGGTTGAAAATTCAGGCAGGCCTAACGGCTTCGCCATAGCTTTTGCACGAATCATGTAATCATTGACCAATTGCTCATACGCAGGAACATCCAAGGATAAAGCTCTGTCGTCCGTTCCCCGATCAGAATTGCTAGAAGCTTCGCCAACTTCTGGAATTTTAAACTGCAGCGTCGCCGTATTTTTGGGATCATCATTACTTGCATCCTCACCACGATTGATATAGCCATTCGGCTCATCCATTACCCAAATCGGACGTTTTTCTCGAGCAATTTTGTCGGCCTCTAATGCGGCTATAGTTTCTTTCGATAGCTTTGCATCCTTTCTGTGGCTACTGCTTCCTCCCTTGATGTATTTCTTCTTTATTTCTACGGCCTTAACATACTCCACAGGTCTGCCATGCCAAGCTGTAACATTGGCTTGATGACGATTTCCAATCCGAGAGCTGGCCCTTGGATAGATACGATCGTCATAATCCAGTGCATCTTCAACTCTGCAGTGTATACCCAAGTACCGGAAGAGCCATAGGCTTGCTTGATGAACTTGTTCCGCTGTACCTGGGTGAATAGACATTTCGACATCCTGAGAGCCTGATGAGGTGTTCCCATTCGTATCAAGTGCATCACCTACTGTTGTGGGAAGATCATCTTCGTCTTCGTTCATTTCATCGTCTTCGGCTTCAACGATTCCATCTGTAATATTAGGGGTGTTACGAGCCTCAAGTTTCTTTTCTTGGGCCTTGCTGCAAGGTCCACAAGCCCAAGCAAAGCCGCGCGAGGGTTTCTTCAACAATGGCGGATTCACACAGCTCATGTGGTAGGTGTTCAAACAAACCGCACAGTCAACAGAATCGTTGCTATGAGAATGTTAGCGAAATTCGATACTCGAGAATTCTGAAATACACACCTTGCACTGTATCTACAGCAACGCTTACAGGTTTTCACGGCGCTGGTAAACTCCTTGCCACGCCCCACCTCCACGATAATATATTTCCACCTTTCATCAAGGACCTTCTTGACTGAAACAGGTACATTTATGACCTGAAAAACGGGTATAACATCGTAATATCGATGAATGTAACGATCGTACAGTTTATCGTACCAGAAGCTGTCCTTCGTCGTTCTCAAAACATCGAGCCTCTCGACTTCGGCCTTGTGCTTGATCTGACATTTTCCACGTAAGGCTGTGAGAGGACTGATATCGGAGTGCATGGAAGCGAACACTTGACGCGTATCGCTAACCTTCTTTCCTATTTCTTTAGGTCGATAGTACCAGTTGAGTCGTAGTGCATCAATGGGCTCCTTGACATCATTATTGATATGTAAGAATTCCATGATTCGACCAAGATAGTATGGTTCACCGGGAGGTTCACAAACAAGATACACGTGATCTGGCAATGCGTTAGTATTGGAACAGGATTGGAAAAATGGCTGGTAGATCCATGGCCTCAGTATGCGTACCATTGGCTGATAGAACAGTGCCATCATCCGCTACAAGTTTCTCGTCCTTTAAACGTGCCCCACAGTTATCGAAGCTCAACATATTAGAATCATGCATGGCCATGCTGACTCTGGGGGCACCTGTATGTACTGACGAACCATTTTGTACGACATTCTGTGACGAAGTTGCAGTTGCGGCGGTTTGGGCAGGAGGTTTCTTTTTCTTGGAATTCTGAGTCGTTGGTCCCGATGGGTTTGCAGAGAACGTAGAGGTACCAGGGATAGACTCCTTATTATTATTTTGTGCCGTTGCGACAGGCTCCGGTTCTGGAACGGTTGCCTTCTTTGCAATAGATGTCGGTGGCGCATTGTCCGCAGACGTTGAAGGGCGAGAGTCGCTGACCCGAGCGGCCTTGCGCCCCTCTTTCATAGCCGCTGCAATTTCAATATCCACGTCCATCTCCTTGTCTTCTGCATAATTGATTCTTGATGTACCGGTTCGATTGCGCGATCGAGTGCCGTAAGCTGCACCACCGATACCGTTGGCTCCAGCATCCTTATTCGATCGATTGGAGGATGTTGAATTGGTCGCGGTCATAGGCTGAGATTCGAAATCGCGAAGAGCTAACAATTCCTTCTCTAATCCTTTCCCAGGCGCAGCAGTCGAAGCCTTACTTTCAGGCACAATTTCCATCGCATTTACAGCCGGCGAGTCGTGGGCAGCGGATACATTCTCAACCGCATTGCTCTCTTGTGGGGGGAGGGTTTTGGATGAGCCTTCGACGCTGGTGCCAGCATTAATTTCTTTGGTCATGACGATTGCGTCGCGAACAAATTCGTGGCTTGGACAATCGAATCTCAGACTGTGAATTGGAGCGCTTCCCGCGAGAACGAGGTGCGAGAAGCGCTATATACGAGGCTGTCGGACGATTATTGCGAGGTCTCGACCCATCAGAGAGGTTCGAGGTTATGAAATTTCTTAGAGACGAATCGATCTGAAAGATTGAGAACAATATAGTTGGGGGGTGAATTTTTTGATATCGTAGAAAGGGTGGATGCGGAAGGACCACAGGATGACAATGAGTAGAACTAGAGACGAGGCTATTTGTGAGCTCTCAAAAACATATATATTAACTGGAGGGATGCACCAACCCTAGACAAATGATCTAAATTGGGTAATATATTACTCTTCACAGACGGAGGATGTAATAAGATGATGTTGAAGTGAATTAAAGGTTCCGCAAGTGTGAGCTAAAAGGAATGATAAAGTTTTGGATGAATGATTTGGTAGAAATTTGAGGTTTGGGTGAAAGTAAATGTGAAATGGGTGGAAGAGAGTTGGGTGGTAGGAGCAATGTGATGGTTGTAAAAGGTGGTTCTATACCTTGCCGTATATTTGAAAAGAGAGATATTAGGTAGGTAGGTAGATACCAGGAAGATATTTAAGTTGGTAAGAATAGATGGGGTGGGTTGCACGGATATGGAAAAGCTTTTGGGAGAGGATACAGATCTGATAGATATTCCTACTAGGTAGGTAGGTAGTTCAGTCTATTCCTGTCCAGTTCTAGTCCATAAACTCTTTTTCCGTATTTCAATGTTCAAGGAGGAGAAGCGATGCAGCGGTGGTAATCAGTCGGGACTCTCCAAGGACATTGGCTGAAGCAATGATAAATAATTGATGTAACAAATGGTGGTGGTGAAGGTGATGGTGATGGTGATCACTGGGTGTTGATGAAGACCGGCGTGAGGCATGAAGAAAGCATGGCATGAAGCGATGCTAGTAAGCAGGTGGTATGTATGTGTATGTATGTGTATGTATGTAGGTAAGAAAAGATGGGAATGAGAATGGGAACGGGAATGGGAATGGGAGTTTTTTGTTGGCGAAACAAAACGATATGGTGCGGCGCTAATTGGTGCCTGCATAGAATTCACAACCCTTTCTTCCCTTTCCCGCTGGGTATGTATGGGAGCAAGAGGCGGGAGGCGACTTGAAGAATTCCATTCCTGGCATGGTACGATATAAATTTGTGACGGACAGTAGGTAGGTATGTAGGTAGGTAGGCAGGCAAACAGAGTTGCTTCACAAGTCCGATAATCAACATCGTATGTATGTAGGGAGGATGGGAAAGGTAGGTAGGAATATATTGATAACATTCAACAATATACACACATTGGATATCACCTAGATACTGACTGATATATATCACTTTTATTATCTAGATGCTCTTGGACGTTCTAGGTAGCATGCATATACATAATATACATAGTATACATAGTATACATATCATACACATATCATACATACATCATATACACACCTGCACCCACGCACACATGCACACAACACACTTCATATCATTCCACAAAAAGGGTGGAAAGTATAATTGATATATACATACATACATATATCTACACAGGACGGAAGAGAAAATAAAATAATTCATGACTTTTACATAATCCAAAACATACAAAACATACAAAACATACAAAACACACAAAGTCACTCACTCAATACCTCAGATCCCAAATACTGACTACTCTGGCTCCAATACCAACAATTGATTGCTCGAGTCATAGCTGTGCGTACTAGGTAGATTTGGTGTTACAGAACCATCAGGTAGAACAATGTACAATCCATCAATCGAACTTTTTAGGATCTCGAACTTCCAAAATGCTTGAAGTCTCCACTTTACAAGCGGGGGTAGTGAGAGATATCCTTGCTAGCTCAAGCTGGGAAGCCCCGGTACGCCGATGGCTGGCTTGGATCAATCACGTGTGCTTTTTTCCAACTCTCCCCACCATTCAGGTTGCATCAATTGATGGACCTCCCTCCATCCATTAAGTCCATCGATTGAGGCTTCCATCTCATCGTCAGCCATTCATTGTATTGCCAGTCACAAATAAGAACCAAAACAAAGAGGAAAAGATTCTTACCGACCGACTCGGTATGATAGAGCAAAGGTTGGAAGAAGTCAAATTTCACAAAGACATGTCTATATCATCATTCACTGACTCATTCTTTGGCTTGCTTACAAATAACTTCTTCTTCCAATTGGGTACATTGCTCCGTTGACTTGATTTGGCCCTTCTCCCCCCCCAAAAAGTCACAGAAGGTTCTTCGGGATCTAGAACTACCTACCTGCCTACCTACTTTAGGTACATGGATGCTTCCAGTATTTTGCTACAGTACAACCTGGCGTCAAAAGTTCCCTTTTTGATCCTCTTCTCTAACTACCTACCCACGTCTATCATTTCAATCATCGCCTTCTGTCTTTCCTTGTGGTTTGCGTCTTAAATGGCTTATTGCTTTCTTCATGTTTCTTTGCAGAGCATCTTCAATCCACTTTGCCTCGATCCAACTTGGAAATGAAGAAGTCTAATGCAACACGGTCTGATCTGTATCACAAAACTACCATAGATGCAACAAGGGTTGCGTCTACAACAATTTCCCGCGTCGCTGTGAAAAGAACATTGGATGAGTTGAATGATTCCAAAGAATCACGGGAAACACCATCTCCCGCTTATCATCCCCATATCGAAACTGACCTCACTAGGCAGGGGGATTTTAAGCGCCCAAATCTCAAAAATATAAATCCGGGTGCTTTAAAAGCAAGTGAAATTGATAATGTTACTGTCCAGAATTATTCCGAGTACTCACAAAGAAGGCAACTGGCTTTGACGCCAACCCCTACACTGAATCCCTTGCTTGATCTATCACACCCTGCATATCAATTACCAAATCAACTAGTCGAAAATTTTGCTGCCCTGGGAATCAAATCTATATACCCATGGCAATCCGAATGTCTCCTTCGTAGTGGTACCCTTGCTGGACAACGCAATTTGGTCTATACTGCTCCTACGGGGGCGGGAAGTCACTTGTTGCAGATGTCCTCATGCTCAAGAAGATTATACAAAACCCGGAGAAGAAAGCTCTGTTGGTGTTGCCTTACGTTGCATTGGTTCAAGAGAAACTTCGATGGCTCCGAAGAATTGTCCAGGGGATCTGCAAAGAGACCTCTGTGCGGGAATCAAAATGGCCATCCATGTGGCGAAACCGAGGGGATGAAAACTCCATTAGGGTTACAGGTTTCTATGGTGGCAGCAAGTCAAACGCAGCATGGGCGGATATGGACATTGCTGTGTGCACCATTGAGAAGGTGCGTCGATATAAATACTTTCGCACTCACAGTCATTGATTAATAAGTATAGGCAAACTCGCTCGTCAACGCGGCCATTGATGACTGCTTCATCGGAAATCTTGGTGTTGTAGTCATGGACGAGATACATTTCATAAATGATGAAAGCCGTGGATACATACTGGAGTTAATGGCTACAAAACTTCTTAGCCTAGAACAAGGCGTACAGATCGTCGGTATGAGCGCAACGCTCGACGTAAGTCTCACTTTTCCTTTGTTTTTGTGGTTGTCTCATGGGAAGAGCTATCTGACCAAACAAAGAATGCAGACTTGCTCGCTAAATGGCTCAATAACGCCAAATTTTACATTTCCAACTACAGGGCTGTTCCTGTAGAAGAGCATCTGGTCTTTGAAAATGCTGTATATCCGGCTTCCAGTTCGAACAGATTTTACAAGACAGCTTCGCAACTGAATTCTCAGAACTCAGACAACTCGACACAGGCGCTTCCGGATCCCCATAGGCGAATACAGACTTCACAGCACAAAGAGCTTAGCAATCCCTTGATAAACTCCGTCGTTGCTTTAGCCAATGAAACCGCCAGAAGTGGCTACGGTGTGCTAGTATTTTGCAGCAGTAAGTTGGCCCATTTGTCTGCTCTGCCGTATCGTAATACTAAGTCTACCGAATAATAGGTCGACTGGGTTGTGAAAGGGATGCACTTCTGATAAGCCAAGTGCTCCCTTCGATGGATGCTATTGACCCGCTCTTGATGAACAAACGACGCGATCTTTTAAATGACTTAAGGGACACAAGTAGTGGTCTTGATCAAGTCCTTGAAAAGACGATCTTAATGGGCGTGGCCTTTCATCGTAGGTATTTTCCATCCTCTAATCTTTGGATTTCTCTGACACCCACCCACAGATGCTGGTCTGACTACAGAGGAGCGCGACTTGGTTGCAGCTGCCTACGATGAAGGCGTATTGAAAGTCATGGTAGCGACCTGCAGTCTTGCGGCCGGCATCAATCTTCCCGCCCGTGAGTTATCTTTCGGTTCCAAAAAGCTCCTGATAATTTCAACACAATCAGTATTTGTTGATCCGAACGTACTACGGAGACTGACAGTTCAATAGGGCGGGTGATATTGCATGGGGCTAGAATGGGATCTGATCTAGTCGGTCCTTCAATGCTGTAAGTACCTTACTTATCACAACTAATTACAAATGCTAATCATTGTAGTCGACAGATGAGAGGTAGAGCTGGACGTAAAGGGAAGGATGAAATTGGCGAGACATATCTCTGTTGTCAAAAGTCTGACCTCGAGGCCGTCGCGGAGCTTATGGAAGCCGAAATACCTTCAGTGGAGAGCTGCCTCGTGCCAGGCAAGCGAGGTATAAAACGGTAAAAACTCTCTTGTAAATCTTCATTAGGTACTGGTATTAATAGGTAGACAGGGCTTTACTTGAAGTAATAACTACAAAGTTAGCTACAAGCAGCGAATCGATCGACGACTACGTGAAAAAAACTCTCCTATGTCATACGATTGATCAAGAAGAGTTAAAATCCATGGTTGAAATAACCCTTAAAGATTTACTCGAAAGTAAACTCGTAGAACAGACCAAATCCTATTCATACGAAGCTACACGTCTGGGTCAAGCTGTTGTGGCTTCTTCTCTCGCTCCCGAGGATGGCTTGTTCGTCCATAAAGAATTACGGAGATCTCTTGAAGCCTTTGTACTAGATGGCGAAATGCATGTGCTTTACACCTTCACACCCGTTCAGACTATGCAGGGCAATATCAACTGGCAAATCTTCCGTAAGGAAGTTGATATGCTTGATGAAAGTAACTTAAGGGTTCTTGGTTTCGTTGGACTTAAGCCGTCATTGATCAATAAAATGTATGTTTATTAACTGCTATGAGTTTATCTATTGCTCAACATTTGACTTTCTCTTAGGGCACAAGGGGGATCGATGAGAGAGTCCACACTGGAAGAAATCGAGATAGCGAGGGTATACAAGAGATTTTATACCGCTCTACAACTGCGAGATCTTTGTAACGAAATGCCAGTTCATGCCGTTGCTCGCAAATACGACTTGCCACGAGGAATTATACAGAATTTGGCGCAAACGTGTCATGGCTTTGCTGCAGGAATGATAAAGTTCTGTGAGAAGATGGATTGGGGAGCACTAGCTGCGGTGCTTGATCACTTCTCCGATCGTCTAAAAGCTGGTATGTCCTTCATTCTGTCACAATAACTGTGTAGACAACTCCAGATTTGAATTTTCTAGCTTTCTGAATACTCTTACTCGCTTACCTAACAAGCAATAGGCGCTAAGTCCGACCTACTCGCTCTAACGGAAATCACATTCATCAAAAGTCGAACAGCAAGGATCTTCTGGGACAACGGCTATAAAACAGTTGGGGCGGTTGCAGGTGCAGACTTGAAGGAACTAATACCAGTACTTCTGATGGCCCAGCCGAAAAAGTTGCGGCTGGCGTCCGATGATGAGAAAAAGTACCATGCAAAACTTCTTGCGAAAGCGACAAAGATTGTTGAGTCAGCGAATCGAATATGGGAACGGCAGATGCAGCAGGAGATCTATGAAGAAGATTAACACAATCGACTAGAAAAAGATTTATTGGGCTGCTCAAGGATATTCACACCATAAATACGTACATAGAGCGTGTCCATAGGTGAGAAGGACATGTAAAATCTGTCGTGATTCAATTTGAGTCAATTTTCAGTGCCGAAAGTCCAGCGAGAGATAGATTCAATGGTATCATGTGACATAAGATCCCTAAGATCGGAAAGCCTCAAATTGTAACGTATAATTCTGCATAACTATTCATTGATGCTAATAAAGCAAATGATCTATATAAACCTGTGTTTGAGGGGTAAACATGTTCATAGTGTATAGACTTTTCGTGAGAACCTCAGCACAATAATGCGCTCGCGGGTTCCATAAGATTTCCAAGGGCTTTGCATGTATCATGTGCCACGATAGCCAGCTCTATCTAGTATGGAGCTCCGTCCATTCTCTGACGTCCTGAAAGTTCATAATTTCATTTGGTCCCCCAAATCTTCCTTGCAAATCCTTCCAATTCCTATTCACTGCCGTTTCAGGTCGCCATCGGAAGGCGTTCTTCAGCTTCGGATCTAGTATCCCTTCCATCAAATCGGTAACAAATCCTCCAACTGAAGTAATGTGCATAAAGCCGTGTCCGCTTCCGCCAACCGCCAGAGTTAGCGAAGCGTATCCCGGAGGAATATCGATGAGAAATGCCCGGTCAGGGGTGTCAGCGCACCAACATATTCGAGCAAAGGATAACGGGCGATCTGCGAGATGAGGCATGGTTTCTAGCAGAAATTGCCGAATTCTCTTTGACGAATCTATAGGGATCTGTTGTTTTGAAAATGGAATGCTCCTGGTTTTGCCATCTGGTCCTGTGATCTGAAACATGATTCGTCAGCCCTTACTACCATGCTGCATTTGGAAGTGTTGCTTTTAACTGAAGCTGTTTTAAGACCAGGAGAAAGGGTCGAAAGCCAAGCTTGCATAACTTCAATGTGCAACACTCATTGAAACGCCGATTCAAATCTGAGGATTTGATTTCATCAACCCTCATATGAAGGTGCAAAAATCGAAAACCCTTCTAGGCTTCCTTTCTGGTATTCTGAACTTTTCTCCCCATAGCAAGACTAGGCAATAAATGGACTTACCCAGTTGCAATAGCCAGGATGCTCATCACATATCTTGAGCTCGTGATTGTCTTCGTCTGGTTCCATGAAAAATCCTTTCTCTATATTGAAGAGAACTGGCAGGTTCTTGTACAATTTTGTCTCATCCTCCGACATCTTGATATGTCCTAGAGTCCAGGCTGTCGGCCGAAGCTGATCCTTGAAGTCGAAAAGCGCATCGGCTCCAGCCCCAGCAGCAAGTATTGTCCTATCACCCCGATGTTCCTTTCCATCAGCAGTCTTAACACCTGGTACGTCCCCATCTTCATAAATGAGACTGATGACGGCACCTTCAGGTGAACCGGTAATGAACTTCACCCCAAGCCTATCAGCCTCTTTTGCTGCGCTTTCCAGTGCTTTACGAGCATGTACCCAGCCGGCGCCTGAAGACTTGAACACACCTCTCCAGCCGGGAAACTCGCCTGTCAACACTCCGGGAGGCATCGTCTTTCTGAAGTCCTCTGCGGTCTTTAGTCTTACAAACCCAGACTTTGAGTCGGGCAGCTCTCGCTTTTCAACCTGCTCCAATGCAGCTGGCGTGTCTGCAGCTACGATATACCCAGTGGCATGGTAGTAAGGTTTGAATACTGGATCATTTAACCAGCCTTCCGTCGCTTTGTTAAGCAAAATCATAGAAATATCATCTTCGCCCTCTGTGAAAGAGCCTATGTATGTCAGTGAATTTCCTATGCATTCATAAAATCCCATTGCAATAGTTACCTTGTTCTACAATCTTATTGACATCATTCCCAGCGGATATTGGGGATGGTATTGGATATGCATCGAATATTGTGACATCTACATAACCTCGACGAGCTAAGTGGAGAGCTGTAGATACAGCCCAAGTCCCACCTCCCACAATGAGGATTCGAGATGATTTGGTAAGTTCGGTCGGCATGATTAGAATTGGGAAATATTTCACCAGGTTACAATTTCTTCGATTGGGAGTTTGGGTATACTATTATATATCTACGTCGATACTCTCATGAAAATATATTGAATAGAGGTGATAGGTAGGTTGAACACAACTGCATGCCACTTCGCTTGGACCTTCCCACCCACTTTCGATCTATCTATCTATCTGTACTGTACCCCACCCCACCTCGCCCACTGAACGGCCACTCCAAACATAATCTTACAAATAATCTGAGTAACGGTATCTGTTCCGGTGTGTCTACCCAGTATCCTGTATCAAAAATTTCCCGGTTCTCTTGATGGTTTAATCGATTGATGGTTCGGCTTTGATTAAAATCCACTGTACATGTAATCGTCCTGTCTCCGCTCGACGATCACCGCCAGAGATCCAACAACTTTCTATATCTACGTTGGTACAAGGACGAATTGTTTGCAACCTTACACCAATGCTCGGCGAAACTTATCAGCTGCTATCTCACTATCACATTTTCGAAGTTTTTTCTCCACTTCCTTCACTTCCTCCGCCTCCTTCATTTCGATGCTCGATGTAAATCATGCCACGACGTAAATCTCCTGACACGGGTAAATGTAAGGCCTCTCGTACCAGAAGCCTGGGTGGATGCAACACCTGCCGAAGAAGGAAAGTTAAATGCGGAGAAGAAAGGCCTAAATGTCAACGATGCGCTAGCACTGGATATGACTGCAAATACAACCTCGTCTTGAAATGGCAGGAGGAATTTGCCAGAAGAGGTGCAGCCTTTGGTCGATCCGGCGTATGGAAGAAACTTGACCACCAAGGATCGACTTCGGATGTTCATCAATCTCCTTCTTACGATCTCTCGTCTGAAATGGTTACACAGTGCTATATCCCGCACATATCGCATCATCATTTTGTAAACGGGACTGTCGAGAACTTTCACATAATGTTGTCATGTGATCAAGACGACCCAGCCGGAGTTGAACGTGAACTAATGAATACTGCCGTCGAAGTCACTACTTTTACTTCTCCTAGATTGAAGTATATTCCAGCCTTTACAGCAGTACCTCCTAGATACCTTGTCTCATCTCCTATCATATCATCGTTTCCTCATGTGGATGACACAAATACAACTCTTCTGTTCCAATATTATGTAGACCGTCTATGTCCGCTAACAACTGCCAATCAGTCCACAAACTCACCATTCGCAACAATAGTTCTCCCTTTCGCATTGAGTACATCGCAATCTACCCTGCAATCTCTTTTAGCACTTTCGGCGTGTCATAAGAGTAAAACAGATGCATCCTGGGGACCGGTTGCCATGCAGCTTAAGGCGCGGACTCTTCATTTCTTGCGAGGGAGACTCGATCAAGGAGACTCCGTAGAGATATCAAGAGATCCCGAAATTATTACCATAAGTATGATCATGTGCTTGTATGAAATCATCAATACATGCGATGAACAGTGGGTAGTTTACCTTCGAGGCGCGCGCGATATTATCCGGATCCGAAAACAATTCCCATTACTAGCCACTGAAAAAAACCAATGGCAGCCCCTCCTTTCATTCTCAGAACGCTTCTTTGCATACCAGGATGTCCTGGGACGAACAGCATGTGCCGGTGTACCGAATTTCAAGAGTTGCGCTTGGACATCCAAAGCTCACGAAATCGATATATCGATGGGCTGTTCCCCAGAACTCTTCCATATATTAGGGTCAATTACAGATCTGATCAAACTGAAACGTAAAGATCCTATGTGTGCTTCTGGAGATTTATTTATCAACAAAGCTGCAGTTCTGGAGCAACGACTCGATGGTCTCGTTCAGACCGTACATCAGGATGATGACTGTGTAATTTTGCACTCGGCAGAATTGAAGCGACAGGCGACTATCTTATATCTTCACTGCACTTTGTACAACGCATCGCCTAGCACAGTTTCGGTTGTCAGGCGAATCCCTGAAATTCTTCAAATCATTTCCCTGTGCCTAGACAGTGGCCTTGTAACAAGTTTGACATGGCCTATTTTCGTTGCGGCAGTGGAACTCAATCCACTAGATGACATAATCGTGGTTAACAATAGATCTCTGTCTGGGAGAGCATTTATTCTCAGTACATTGGCAGTAATGTCAACTTGTACCATTGCGAACCTCGAGAGGACTAGATCAGTCATTGTTGATGTTTGGCAACGCAGAGATTTGTCTCTGTTAGCAAACACGACACAAGGCGTTACAAGCGACTGGGAGGAGTATGTTGAGCCTGTTAGTATAAATTTAAGTCTTGGGTAATGGAAGACACTATACTTAGTCAAGTCCTTTCATGGAAAGATTGGTTTAAAGTCCCTTCCGACCAACCGAACCTGGATAGGCAAGACACGCAGTGACTTCGAGCTGGCCACACAAGGATACATGGTAATTGTGATTTGCATATCTGAAAAAGTGTTGAAACCACTCATCGATAATCTTCTTCTATTCGAAAAACAACAATCCAATGATTTCCGCGTTTGAAATGAACAACACAACCTAAATAGTCTAGCTATTTCTGGCTGGCTATTTCCTGATTAGATTCGGATGACAGAGAGCAAACAAGAGTGTATTATATGCATAAAGAAAGGCGTTCATCGCGGTAGCTGTTCCTAGATTCCTGTTCCCAGACTCGAGTCGAACAATTCTCTTATCATGGTCCCAGAAAGACGGATCAATCGTACAGTCTTATCAATTGGGGCCAACGTTGGAGCGGATCTAAGCTACCCCCACCTTGGATAGCTAATGGAAGTCTGAAGCAAGCCCCCACTTTTTCACATCAAGGTCAGATGCGGAGTAAAGCTCGCTTCTCGCCTGGACCTTCATGATGTAGCCAAGCTAAAAGATCAGCCATTCAATTGGTATTCTATGATCGATTATTGGGATACGTGAGATATGCCTGATTCGGAAATCGGCAAGTGACAGACGACAGATACATATATAAAGATGCTCTCCTTTGTCAACAATGTACTCTGTAAACAGGTCTACACCCAATATGTCTCAAGTTCCAATCGAAGATGTTCCAGGTACCGAATATCTTATCGACGGTAACCACCTCATCACCTCACTGCCTTTTCAATCGCTCACTGAATATATAGTTGATCACTCAGTGGATCATTCTCACTCAGGAGGGGTTTCATCGAATATTGTCATGATTCCTCGGCCCACGACCTGTAGTGGAGATCCCCTGGTATGATTTTTTGTTGAAATATGACTAGCATTGCTTTGCTGACACTAATCAAGCTTTGGCCGCGATGGAAGAAATACTACCAATTGTTCCTTGTTGCGTAAGTTTTTTACTTGCCTAGAAATTTGTGGGCCAAAGTGTGTTCAACTGACTTATGGTCAGACTCTATGCTTGTGCATTCAGTTTCGGAGAAAACACCCTCGGAGGTACATAAAGAAAGTGTTGATCATTGGGTTTATGTTCACTGACGTGTAACACCAGCTGCTTGGGAGACTATATCCAAGGATACAAATGTTAGCCTCACTAACATGAATGGCGGTTCAGCTCTCAACTACTTACTACTGGTTGGTTGTGCAATCAAAAGTATCATTTGGCTCTCTTTCTAAAACAATTTACAGGGCTTCTGTAACATATTCTGGATACCTGCAGCTAAAAGACTTGGTAACAGATTTGTGTTTCTGGCAACGACCCTAATTTGCATGTGTGCCGGTATTTGGCTAGGCAAATTCCAAGGTACTGGAGAGTGGATGGGTGCCATGATCTTGAATGGCTTGGGTACATCAGCATATCAGGCTGTAATTCAATTAACCATATTCAACATGTTTTTTGTTCATGAACGTGGCAGAATGCTCGCAGTTTATCTGTTCGGGCAACAACTTGGATCCATGTAGGTTCAGTCGATATCATAAAAACGACGAGGATTAAAGCTCACCGTTCCATAGCCTTGGTCTCATCTCTGGAGGTTCTATCGCCGATGGCCCTGGATGGAGATGGAGTCAGTACATTGTGGGCATTATCGATGGCGTCTTATTTTTGCTCCTATTTTTTTCCTTCGAAGAGACGACATTTCCGCGCTTTCTATTCTCCTCCACAGGCACAGATCGAGATCGAACTGTTGCACCAGCAACTTCTGGCACGGGTAAGGAAGATCTGGAGATGTCAAATACGAGGCTATCGCACAGTTCCACTTCGGCAGAATTGCCGTCTTCATTGTTTCCAAGAAGAACCTACCTCCAAACCCTCACGATATGGGCATACCAGTCAGATGATACGACAACATACTGGGACTACTTCAAACGTCCCTTCTTCCTGTGGTCGTTTCCTACAGCTGTTATTCCGGGGTTCATCTTCGCTTTTGGATGCACAGCTGGGATAGTATCCTTCAATACAGTATCAGAGATCTTTTCCTCTGATCCATATGACTTCTCATCAACGACCGTTGGCCTTATTTGTTTCGCAACTCTCATCGGATCTACTATCGGTTACTTCACTGGAGTGTTATCTGATCATATTGTTATTTTCCTTGCCCGCCGCAACAAAGGAGTCAAAGAGCCTGAAATGCGTCTCTGGACCCTTACCGCAAGTTTCGTATATGCGGCTGTTGGGTATATGCTCTATGGCTGGGGTGCTCAGACGCAGGCAAGCTGGGTCGCAGTTTCGATTGGCTTGGGAGCTCTAATTGCTCAGCAAGTAAGCGCCTGCACAATCGCCACCGCATATGCAATGGAATGTTTCCCCGGTCTTGCCGGTGAGCTAGTAGTTATATTGGCAATGTGCAGCTCCATGGTCAATTTTGCAATTTCATACAGTGTACAGCCCTTTATCAATGCTACAGGATACGGCTGGGCATTTTTCTTTTTTGGAATGTGCGTTCTAGCTAGTATATCTGGTGGGGTGCTTCTTATGACCAACGGAAAGAATTGGAGAAGGAAATGTGCTCCAAGGTATCGACAATATATAAACGAGACAACCATACCGGTCTCTTGAATCGAATATACACAGAATAAAGTTTATCAGCGTGCAGTTTTCTCATCTACCAGAATATACCTTTCAAGAGTGAGGCAACCCCTTGTGCAACTAGTTTGTGAACGATCTGGCTAGGATGATAATCATTCCACCATAAACAGCTAACACCATCCGCATTTATACAGGTGGCATCGGCCGAGCCATACGCTGTAGGGTTGTTGATTGCGTTTAGGAAAGGAGCTTGGGTATCATATACCCAGGTCTTAGACCCAGCATTTGCAGCTTTGAATGCTGCTACGCGTGAAGCTAAAGCCGCATTATATTGAGATATAGCGGTCGCCAGAGAAGCTTGCACAGCTGTCCCTTCAGCTATGAAGAGAGGGCTATCTTGGGTTGCTTTGTGTATCGTCAGTTTTTGATATTCCTCTTTCGAATCCCAATCAAGAAGGGGACTCACGCGGAACGGTTAAAAACAGAAAGTTCCGGCCTCCCACATTGTAGAGTCGCTGGATTTCTGTAAAGTAGGAATCCATGATCTGACCGAGTAGCGTCGTGTAATTTGAAACATACCACGCGTTTCCAACATCATTAACACCTATCCAAATGCCAAAAAGCGTATTGCCAGAGGACCAAGGCCCAGATGGAATGTATTGAACAAACTGGTCTACTTGATCAATGAAGGATAGTACGGTGGTTGCAAATGGTGCAACAAGCGATGCGTTAGTAGTTGCGCCTCCCGCAGCAAAGTTGTATGACAACATGAGCGTATTGTTGTAAGTTTCAACGAGATACCCAATCTACATGGTTTGCGTTAGCGAATGAGCGTTTTCAAGATTTTTATGTTACATGCCCAATTGAACCCGCCGGTGGTCGTGTAACCTTGAAGATTGGGATTTCCAAGGGGGTTGCCAGCAGCGGGTTGGGTCAGGGTCGGATCAAAGCCTGTTTGGGAGTATGAGTCGCCACTGATTTTGGAGTTAGTGGGATTCGAATTCGGATGAACAAATGATTGTAATGTTACGTACAAAGTTATGAAATACTCTACGGCTGCAGTCGATGTGGGGCCTAAGCAACTCATTTATAAGCTTATACAAGGGGTAGATAACTGGAACGACACATATATGTAAGGGTCTTACTTTTTGTAGTAGAGGTCGAGGTCGAAGATACTTTTGTTGTTAATGTTGTAGACGTTTTCGAGGTTATTGGAGCACTTGTTGTTGTCTTCGAGCTTGAAGTACTGCTAACTGCTCCCGGAAGACACTGACCTAGAGAAAGCAATGAGCACGCTGTAATGCAATATTGTCTAGGAAAACAGTACTATAGTATGGGTTCTGGTAAACACAAGTGCTTCCTATAGCACAAGTTGTTGCACCCGTCCAGCTCGAACCTCCGCATTGACCATACACGGCCTGCTGAGCGGCCGCTGCTGCCACACATAGGAGTAGAGGAAGAATCATTTGTGCAATCAGATTGGAAATTATAGCATCAAATTACGGACACAAAGCATATGAACCCACAGAAATCTCGAAGAGAGCACTCCTGTTTATAGATGGTCTTCAACAACAAGCCTAGGAATAGTGATACGTGTCCTTATCAAGAATGAGTATTTATCCCACCAGTACCATAAAATCAATTCCACAAAAACCGGATGAATTATTTGGATCTGAGTTACGACTCGATATGGTGATGAGTTCCGTCCAATAGGGATCGTCAGAAAGTCGGCTACGAGGGGCGAGAGCCGTCGACACCGGATTCTCGGTCCGGCCACTATAATTAGATTCGTTAACTTTCGTATACACGATAATGAAGGAAAAGTTTAACCTCTAAACCAAGAGTCTCTAGAATAGTCATTGGGGAAAATGGATCTCCAGACTATAAATTCATGTAAAATCGTTGTCTTATTGACCACTGTAATAATCTTGAAATACTAGAATTCTTAGTCTTCATTCTTTTCCCTGAACGATCAATATTATTGAATATACCATGCAATGAAACTCGAACACGATTATGTTTATAATATAATATGACTTCACCTTAATGCTTATACTATAGACACTCTTATATTCCGGACTCTTTGAAAACCCTAAGTATTATTATTATTATTATTATTATTATTATTATTATTATCAACTCAACAGGTTATTTTCAGACTATTAAAATCGATCCCAATGATTTTGTACCATTTTAACTTTAGTATTCGATTATAGACTCGAAAAAGAAAGCTTAAACCGACTTTAAGAGTGTCAGGGTGAAACTTTAGATTTCTGAATGATATGAAAGAAATATAAATTATTATGAGGTTATTATTGGGTTTGAGAAAGAGATAAATTAATTTTTTTTCAATGAATTTTGGACTCAATTACTTCTCAAAAAGATATATAAGATATACTTGCTTTCTAAGAATTTAATTTTTTGACTTATAAATGTGAAACTCCCAAAGACCCATGTATTTATAAGAAGCTGGAGTACATTATGAAGAATATAAAATTTTTATATTATTGTTTAGGAAACTGACCTGAAATAGGACTACAATTATATTAAATCGTACATTACATTTTTTAGTATTCAGAATCCAAAACATCATTCTTATATCATTATAATTGATGTCTGTTTATTCTCATACTATTTATATTCTAATCTATCAAATCTAGATTTTAACTTCGAACGCTCAATTATGTTTTTTAACTCTAGATTTTACAGATTTTATTCTTCTAACTTTATATTATAGATTTTAAAATTTGATATTGAAAATCCTAATTCCAACTCTTATAGATAGACTTATTTTTTTAATTCTGTGAAGGTTAGAAGTAATAAGGAAATCACACATATCTTCAGTATTTATTTATAATTTCTTTTTAGAATATATATCTTTATTTGGATTATATGATTCTAAAGATACTGAGCTTCAAGAAGGTTTTTTACAATTGAATAGAAAATCTGACGTTGTGTAAATATTGAAAACTCTTGAAAAGAAACGTCTCAATGATGATTTAAATCAATTATTCAAAAATCAGAAAATGTCAATTGAAAACGAAGTCAAAACTCGAATTTGAATAATACACATAATATTATATACTGGAAATCTATACATCTCGCTTTTGCTTACTTCTAATTTGAAAAAGAAGCTCAAAGCATCATTTGTTTAAGAAATCCAAGAGATGAGAGAAATTTCTTTTTTAACAAACTTCCTAATTTTTTGGTAAATCTGTAAATCTATAATAAGATTTCTGATCCTTCTGCTTATACCACCCGAATTTTTGAACCCATTAACTGTTTCAAGAAATGAAACTAGTTTTTGATTAATTGATTTCTTTAGTAGATAAATGTTCCTAATTTTTGGAAAAATCAATTACAGAACTTTCAATTCATATAATTGCTATATACTTTTAACTCCTATTTCATTAATAATTTGATAGTAACAAAAGTAATATATCAATTGATTTTATTTTCATATAAAAAGCTTAAATACCTTATTCTAATTTAATGAATCAGCTTCTGGTTATAAATACTATCCTAAAATGTATATGTAAGAACTATATTTTATAATAAAATGATAAACATACTCAGAGCCTTCAATTCTCTTCTTTTACTATTGAGATTATACAATCCTTTATTTAGAGTTCCTTCATTAAATTAATTGATTATTATATGACTAAACTTGACAACTCAAACTCTGAAATATTATACTGTAACAAATCATAAATGAAAGAAGATGGATTCAGTAATAAATTTCGCAAAATAAAATATATAGAATTGATACGAGAAACAGTGAATAGGATTTATCCATCTCCAAAATGAGAAAATAAGTCGATTGATTTTTCAATGGAATTCCAAATCTATCATTCATAGGAAGGCATAGTTTAAGACAGATACTTTATCATATTACTTATTATTCTATCCCCTAGACTGCCAGAAATGGGCTCTGAGAATGGTCCGTGCGATATATCTTAAGTGATAAAGCCTTATTGGATAGAATAGCTATTTTAATGGGTTTTCAGTTACATTATTTATAATATAGAATCTTGATTTCAAATCTCGATTTCTTATAATTTAAAAGAAGAGTGAAGATTGAAAATTAGTATATATCATTATATTCGAGATGTTGATATAGAAATGATATTGGTTCAGTTTTATATTAAAGAATAAATGTGAATATTGGGTTAAATTCGAGAATTCTTGATAATCCGATTGGTTGATAAGATCCCTGTTAAGCGACGGAGCTTATTTCTGGTAGTCTAGGGGACAGAGAAGAGAAAGAATGCTCTTTATATAGGTCAGCATAATTGTATCACTATGTATATACTACATATTTCCTGAGAGCGGAACTTTATTGATCATAGAGTAACTACAATATAATTTTAAATCTCTAAACTCACGTTTTGGAATTTTTTAAACTATTAAATGATTTTCTTACTTTTATTGTCAAATTTTGGAAATACTTCAATCAAAATCCAGCAATTATGTTATTTTGCTGGCTTTTCCATAAAGTTTTAAGGTTTCAAGCCAATCCTCCTGTGAATGATATTTTATCGAATAAAGATTACATATCATTCAAAAGCGTTCAATTATGAGATTTTTCTTTTCATTTTATGGATTCTTCATTCATCAAATCATTTATTTATTGAGCATTTGTAGTTAGAAATCTTGAAATAGATATAGAAACTTTTAAATAGTCAGTTACTGATATATTATTCAAATAAATTATTATTAAAATATATATCATTTCATACTTATATTATCTACTTTGTATTGAAAGATATCTATGATTTTAATATAAACTTAACTTCCTATTATAGATTCTATACTCCAATTCTAGATTTCAATTTTATATTCTTAATTATAACTTTTGATACTAAATTCTGGCTTTTATTACAGATATACACATCCATAACTAGAATTATAGCTAGCACAAATTCTAATATAGACCTCCTTTATAACTAATATTTTATTCATTCATAATCCACGATGATAAATAAAACTGTATAATTCTGTGATTTCGCAATTTCACTTCATAATGACTTTCAACTCTTTACTTCAATATTCATGCCTGAATTCTAGTTTATAGTAGATATATATATATATATTAGTTCTTCATTATAGAGACAAATTCTCAATTTCGAATACCAATTTCGAGTCATAAATTTTGATTTTATACTAATATACCTAGACAGTTTGAAATACTTTTCATGACTAGGAACCAATTGACTTGGAAAATACAGATAGCCGATGTAAAAACATTATAATTTTAAATTTGATCGAATCAGCAAATTTAAAAGGATCATGAGGTTTATTAAAGAAGTTTGTTTGGATTGCTTCATGATAGAGTTTAGTGAATCGAGTGTATTTCAAAAAAAGTTCAGAGGTTTACAAGTTCGTCATCAGTAGATTTATTGAGAGGTTTGTTATGAGGCTTATTGATAGCATTTCATAGATTCAAGAAATCAAATGGATTGGTGAAAGTATCAGATACATCTGATTTAAGAGACTTATTACTATTAAATTTGTTATTTTTGGGTCTATTGTTTTTAGATTTGTCAATTGTTAGATCTATCATTATTAGATTGATTATCATTCCACTTATGATAAGATCATTAAATTGATAAAAGCTTATATTAAACTTACTCTATTCAGACCAATATACATGTTACTTTATAAAAAGTATTATACCTTTGAATAATTGAAAGAAATCTTTTTCTCCTTTATCTAGTAGATATTTTAGTAATCAACATCGCCATTTAATATACATGAATCAATATAACAGGTTTCTCAATTTCCAAAAGCCTTCCATAGAAAGAAAGTTTCTTATATATATACATAAGATTATATTTATGAGACTATAATCGTAATATCAAATTTATATAATAATTTCAAATCTAAACATTCTATCATACTATAATTAAACTCTTGATATAACAGATAACAATTTCATATGAAGTCTAATTAGGAAAGAGATTTTTTATAATCTTTTGATACCTTATTACATTTTTTACATATTATTGCTTTTTTTCTGGAAACACACTTTCCAAGATTTTTTCAACTATTTGAGATTTTAAGTCTAACAGATCTTTAAAAACCGTTGATAGATCTATAGTAAGAATTTTATAGAATATAATTATAAAGCTTGAAAGATAAAAGTATAAAAACTAGTAGATAATACTTTTACAACATTTCCATTATATCAAGAATATTTATACTATATCTAATTAGAAATGTAGTTAAGATATTATACTTCAATTGAGTACTACATAATTTAGGTGTATCTATTATAAGAGTATCTTTTACTTTTCTACTCACTTTTTCAAGACATTTTGAGAAGATAAATGAAAATCTAAGGTGTATTTCTATGATTTTTATATATATTTGGAACATTCATTTAGGTCATATTTTTCAAGCTATATTTCTAATAAATAATGGTAAACCAAGTTCTCATAAAATATGATATACATAATTTCGATTA